TAGTCAGAAAGCATTGTTTCACACACATCAACGCGGCGACTTTTTTGCAAGAAATTGAGCGTTTTCGGTACCAAACGAGATTTGACTTTTCGTAGGCCCAAATGGTCTTTCAAAATTGTTTTCACAGATCCTTCTGATATTCCGATCATATCAGTAAGGTCTCTAACAGTCAACCGACGATTTTCGAGCACTAATTCCTTCACTTTATTGACGTGTTGGTCATCTGTTGACGTCGATGGTCGTCCGGAGCGCTCCAAGTCATCAACACGTTCTCGACCCTCTTTGAAGTCTTTGTACCACTTATAAACATTTTTCTGCGACATGGTAGAATCACCAAAGGCCTTCCGCAACATCCTCAACGTTTCCGCAGCCGAAAATTCATTCCGCAAACAAAATTTGATGGCACTTCTTTGCTCAATTAAATCAGACATTGTAAAAATCGAAACATGCACTCTTGGTCGTTTGGTAAACACAAGCGTAAATATATTACTGATGATGACATTGACATGAAATTTGTCCCAGATGTCATTCGCAGTCCTACCAACTCAAGAAAAAAAGAACTAGCCCGAAATGTTAAGCCCGCGAAGTTTAAATTGAAAATTCACCTTACTTTTTGCCCACAGTAGTATGAGAGGGGATACATTTAAGTGTGTATATATTTGTGATTTGTTTTGATATAAAAGGTAACAGACACCGGTCGGTTTGCATTATTTCATAGTTGTTGTCGGAGTTGAAATTTAAATATTTGTGTGAGAGAAAGTTAGAAGATGATTTTGATACTTTAATTTTTGTTAATTGGATTGTGATTGATAAATTGAGGTAAATGTTTGTTAGTTTGATTTTAAAAAAATTTTTTTATATATATTTGTTTTTGTAACCATTTTTTCATTTATTGTTAATAAAGATCTGATGAGGTTGGATATCTGCCAACGAAACATACGTGTGTAACCTAATATGAGTGTTTGATTTATTTTTACAACGGGTTGGCTCTCAAAATTGGAATTAATTTTACTTACATTTTAAATATATGCATGTATATACAAGGTGTCAAATAAGTAACGGAACAAGGCTGTAGCTTTTTAGGTACAGATTATTAGACCAAGGTCAAGGTAGTAACTTTCAAGGTAGTAACCTTTAGTAACTTTCAACGCGGAATCCGATGGTGACCTTGGATTTGACCTTGAGATTGACCTTCAAGGTTATTTCAAGGTCAACTTTGTTTTTTTAAATGGGAATCCCTATTTTTGACAACGGCAATCGAAAGAGCGGAAAATTTTACGTCCAAAACGGTATTTTTAAATTTTTTTTCATGGCCTTGAGAAGGTCGATTTAAGGTCAAATGCTTGAAAAACTACCTAAAAGCGTTTTTTTAATTTTTAAGATATCGAAAAATGACCTCTACAAAATTTGTTCAGAACAGAGTGGGCCACCCAATGCACCAAAAACCTTTGACCTTTAACCTCATTTTGAAGGTCATTTCAAGGTCGAAGTGTTTTTTTGTAATGGAAACCCCTATTTTTGACCCCGGATTCACATATAGCGCGAAATCAGAAAGAAACATTCAAAACGCAGTGAGTGGAAAAAACTTATCCGGCAAAAAAACTGTACCTATGTCTCTGCTTGCTCCTCATTTAAAACAACTTGACTTTCGGTTTGGATAACCCGTTACTTTATTATTCAAACAATCAAAGGTCAAAGATAAGGTCACTGTAACATGCTCTCAGTAGAATTTAATAAATTTCGCCCGAAACATTTTGTAAATGTTTCGCGAATAATATTGGATCTAAATTTCACATGACCTTAGCGATGAACGTCGTGGATCAATCGAAACTCAAAATAATACCTTATCCAAACGTCGGATTTCGCGCTATGTGATAATCCGGGGTCAAAAAGAGGGGTTTCCATTACAAAAAACACTTCGACCTTGAAATAACCTTCAAAATGAGGTTAAAGGTCAAAGGTTTTTGGTGCATTGGGTGGCCCACTCTGTTCTGAACAAATTTTGTAGAGGTCATTTTTCGATATCTTAAAAATTAAAAAAACGCTTTTAGGCAGTTTTTCAAGCATTTGACCTTAAATCGACCTTCTCAAGGCCATGAAAAAAAATTTTAAAATACCGTTTTGGACGTAAAATTTTCCGCTCTTTCGATTGCCGTTGTCAAAAATAGGGGTTCCCATTTAAAAAGACAAAGTTGACCTTGAAATAACCTTGAAGGTCAATCTCAAGGTCAAATCCCAGGTCACCATCGGATTCCGCGTTGAAAGTTACTAAAGGAATGACCTTGACCTTGGTCTAATAATCTGTACCTAAAAAGCTACAGCCTTGTTCCGTTACTTATTTGACACCTTGTATATAAATATATATATAAGTATAATTGTTATATGTAATTATTGTATTCATATATTATTCAAATTATATAAAGTAATGTTAAGCATGCTCTTGTTTTTGTGATGCGCATGCTCTAGCGCGCAGGCATTCCCATACCGGGTCACTGCCTTGTGTCTGTTAAGTCACTCTATGCGTACAGACTTTAGGTTGTGAACACACCTTAGCAGCGCGCGCTCTCTAATTTTTACGTTCTCTCTCCCTCTCTCTATCAGTTTCGCGCGCACTCTATCTCTATCTCTCTCGCTCTGGGGCGTGCGCGGAGTAGTTCCTTTATCACGCGTTTTCTTGTCGGCACATGTTTAGCCGGGTGTCGTGGCGTCGAATACTTCATTCAAATGTCGCCCATGACACCGACACTTATTTTAATTATAACTCTCGAATAACGACGTGTCACTCACCGAACACCCATGATGCTCACTTCTCTAATGCTGACTAACTAAATCATGACTCTATCTACTTTTTTTATCACATCATTTCTCAAAAAGAATGCGACAGAAAAACCGCACTTTTCTGTGTACTCGCTAATACATATTTGTTACTTCTATAACAACTCAAATTCAATTGACCTAACTCTATCTTTAATAAAATTCCAGTAACCTTTACACTGTATATCGGATTATTCTACTTACAAAAGAAATCTAAATTAACACTGCACTATGATTTTAATCACTTTTATTACTCTCGCTACTCGATTCACTCTAAAAACTATTTTTCTACTTTGCTTGATCAATAGAGCCTACTATGCAAAAAGAACATTATTATTATTTTTCCTTTTTATTGTCACGAGCTCCTACGGCTCAAGCGAACATTCCAGGTTTTTCTGTTTTGTTATAAAGTGATTAACATACCTCGAAAATTTTTTTTTTTTTTTTTATGCTGCGCAGTGGAAGCGTGGCAGGGCCTATAACCTGTTAGAAAAGGTGTTTTAATAAAACTGGCAAACATAATAGTTATGTATTAAATTCAAAGATATTTATTTATAAACTAAAACAAAGGAGAGGTTTTTTATTTATTTATTATACTCGAGGCAACGTACTTCTCAAGTTGCTGGAAGCGGAATGCCGCGCTCAGCTAAACGACTCATAGAGAGGCACAGCAGATGTCGCTGAGTGCATGCGCACGCACACAAGCAAATCAACAATTTTTTTTTTACTTTCGCGCCCCAAGTTTTAAGTGAAGGCGCAACACAACGTATTTCGCACCCTCATGCGATTATCAATTAATTCAAGAAAATCAAAGGTGAATTATTAGTGACAATCAAGATATTGCACCATGTGGTGCAACACACTCACTCGCCGTCCAGCGTTTGAGAAGCCCTTTGTTCACGGCATTCATTGCTACTCATTTCTCAAAGTTTTTTTTATCAGGTGTTTTAAGTACGCCTTTCTCTCGATAAAAACTTGGGTGTCTGAGATTTCTCTCAACCGCACCATTATTTTTATTAGTGTGCAGTGCTGTGTGTATGCGCGCGTGCAAGCGACATCATTCTTTGTTTCATTTCTTTGTCAAATTTCAAACTTTGTATTCAGTCATCGTGTTGCGAGTTAGTGTCGATTCAGTGTAATTTTTAAGTAATAAATTCGTGGGTTTTTTATGCCAGTCAAGGCTTTTTCCCATTACGTAAGTCTAATTAATTCAACACCTTCCATCAATATTAATAATTAGCATTTACATTCAAAAAAAAAGAAAAATAAGGGCATCATACCACCTGAGGCATGAAGGCTCAATAGTTCAAGATAAAACACATTATAAACTTACAAAATATACAAAACATGCTTGTACAAAGAATATTGAAAAAATCAAACTACTTCATGTTTTTATTGAATATTATAATGTGTTATTGACAAATTTCAAATAATTCTCGAGTAAAACAAGAAATAAAAATACTCTAGCCTTAGGTAAAAAGAATCTTCGTGGGTAACAAATAAGAATTATATAGCAAAACTTTTTTGTAAATATTATAGTTAAGTGAAAAATACATATGCTAGCATACAATATTTATCAAAAAAAACAATGAATGGATTAAAAATAATTTAAATCTACTTATTTCTTTTTATGTATTCAAAAATAATAACTTATTATTATCTTGATTTTGTAATAAGAATATCTAGACTATAATTGTTAATATTTAAGCTTTGTTAGCATACACAAGATGATTGAATGTAACCAGCTTACGTAAAAGTAATTATGTATATTTCTGTAAATAGTTGCAAGTAAATAGTAAATTAATGAAAATATAAAACAAAATAATAATGTCATAGAAAAAAGAAAAATTTTTGTCATAAAATGATAAATATTGTATTTTTACAAAAAAATTTTATTTATTCATAAAATAATATTATAAATAATAACGATGAAAAAGAGTAGAATAGAAGTTAGATAGTATTTGTTTGTAGTGATATTGTATAAAAGTGTGCGTCAGAAAACAGATTTATAACGAACTAGTCATAGCTAAGGGATGTGAAATGCTTTTTATATGCAAGAGAAAGGGAGAGAGAGAGAGAAAGATAGAGAGGGAGGGAGTGAGAGAGAGGGAGGGAGAGAGAGAGAGAGAGAGGTATGCGCAACTCAAGCTGCCATAGTCAAAGGTATTGAGTTATTGATGCTTTCGACTGTACGTTATGCACACTTATACTTACACACATATCGAGCTAAGAGGGCGGGCAAGGGCTACATACAGTTCGTACACATTCTATATTCTCCAAGTGTCACCATCGATATAGTTCAGTTCGCAAACATCGCTTGTTGACTGCTGGTTCGACTCAATCATTTTTGGCTGACTGCTATGGTAATGCAAATATAAGTTGTCTTTAATCCACGTAAGTTGATATAATTTTACCTTTTTCCTGAAGATTTGTTTTTTATGACCTCATTTCATTAGTTCTCAAATTATATCATTATTCGTAGATAAATTACAATTTCTAATCACAATTACAACGCGTACATTGACAGATTATTTTCAAAATTTTTTGGTCGTAGAGTTGAATTACGAATACCGAGTCATTCTAATGATACTTTAGCCACCACATTGATTTTACAACTTTGACAAATATCTATTGAAAATATTATAAAAGGATTGAACAATTAAAACCGTGCTGTCTTTCGTTATCTTTTGTAACATTCAATAAGTTATTTTATTTTATCACGCCACTTCTTATTACATGACTAATCAATACAAAAGTCAATGACTGTATAATCGAAGCAATATGCCAACTCTTACTCTCAACTCGCAGTTAAGAATTTTTATTGCTAACGAATAAGCCCCCCCCCCCCAATCCGATCACACCAATTTCAATATTTTTTAATATTATCATAAATCAGAAAAAATAAGTAAGACGTGTTTTTTATCGCCGGGAAAACAATTTGAGGGGGTGAAATTAGCCCTCAAAAATGAATTTGGCAATGCATTTCAAATTCTAGTTGATATTTTACAATGAAATGAATTTCATTTCACTTCGCATGTTAATGTGGAACTAGTGCATGTAGTTTTGACCATAAGGTATGCAACCCTTATTTTTTATTGACAATTCTACCATTTTTGTGTCTACGTTTATGAAAAAAAAATTTTAAGTGAGCCGAAAAAAAAATTGAAAAAATATTATCGCCAGTTCATTATAATAACGAAGTTGATCCGTTCGAGATTATTTTTTGAAGCAGCCTTAAAATGAATAAACGACCTATCTCTCAAAAAACGTTTTACATTATTCTACAGGTTCTGATTAATAATTTGCTATGGATTGCACCAAGTATTGTTATAAAAATACAAATATCACATGTAGTTCCGCCCGCGAGGGTTACAACCCTTATGTTTTTCATTAAAAATTATACCTTTTTCATACTTATTTTTATGAAAAAAAAATCCGAATTAGTCCAAAAAATTAAGTGATATTTTTATTTTTTATTTTTAATATGCGATGTCGATCAATTAATTTTGCGCACCCAGAACAAAATTGTTCAAAACTTAGAAGTTTTATATGTAGGTCAACAATGAACGTACAGAGACCAACGGCAATGCATTTGAAAGCTCTTGAAAAGAGTTCAAGTGCAATGGATGCCCTACTCTAACTTTTTCTAAGGATAATTCAAATTTGAAAATACAAGACTTCTTTGCCCATCTTTCATTTCGGCCTGTATTATGAAAACAAAATCGTTACAAAATTTAAGATATGTCATATTTTAGTTTTTTTCCAAGCACTATCTAAAACTCTCATTGTAAATTCATTTCCGAATTAACAACGCGCGCAATTGAGTTTTTGCTAGAAATTAACCATTTAAAAAAAATTGAAATATCTCGGCAAATTCAAGAGATAGAAACATATTTAACTGAAAGAAAATATTTGTTAATTTGAGTAGAATGCAACAGAATTTTTTCATATTTTTTTTAGAAAAAAAACATTTTTACTTTTCTTTACTGTAACATTTTGACTTATGCTACGTTATAATAAAGTTCGAACTTTAAGATATACGAGGTCTGTTCAAAAAGTATCGCGAATTTTGTATGTTTTCAAAAATTATTTATTTATTCATGAATATTTATTTTATCTTCTTCAAAGTAATCCCCCTCGGATGTAATGCACTTGTACCAACATTTTTTCCAATCCTGGAAGCACTGAAAAAAATCTTTTTTTGTGATCTTGTTCAGCTCCTCCTTCGATGTCATCTTTATCTCCTCAATCGTGGCGTAGCGTTGCTCTTTCATAGGCCTCTTCAGTTTTGGGAACAGGAAAATGTCACAGGGAGCCAGGTCTGGGAAATACGGTGGCTGTCACCAGCAACATCACTGTTTTGTTTTTGGCCAAATATTCACGTACAAGTAACGATGTGTGAGCAGGGGCGTTATCATGATGCAAAAGTCAGTTTTTGTTCTTCCGCAAATCCGGACGTTTCTGACAAATTGCGCATAACTTCCAGGTAATATTCCTTATTGATCGTACTATCCTGTGTACACCACGCCCCTATAATCGAAGAAAACTGTGAGCAAAACCTTCACATTCGACCAAACTTGGCGCGCTTTGTTCGGTCTTGGCTCATGCGGCAGCTTCCATTGGGGTGATTGAGCTTTGGTTTCCACATCATAACCATAAACCCCATGATTGATCACCAGTTATAATCCTCTGGAGCACATTTGGATCGTCACGGACCGAGTCCAATCTCCTGAGCAATGTTAACGCGATGCTGTTTTTGGTCGAAATTGAGCAGTTTTGGCACGAATTTCGCAGCGACCCGACTCATACCCAAATCATTGGTTGAAATCGAATAGCATGAGCCAATCAATATGTTTAGATCCTCAGAAGCTTCTCTAACGGTGATTCGACGATTGGCCAATACTATTTTCTTCACTTTATCAATGTTTTCGTCTGTTGTTGACGTGCTCGGGCGCCCGGCATGTTATTCGTCGTTCACATTTTCTCGACCCTCTGAGAACATTTCGTACCACCAATAAACGTTGCTTTGGTCTAAGATAGCTTTACCATATGCCACAGTCAACATTCGAAATGCGTCTGGGCACTCTATTTTGTTTTTCACACAAAATTTGATACAGATTCTTTGATCCATTTTTTAAAATAGACAAAAATACCAAGACGAGCCAAAACACATCCAAGCAAAACAGCTGTGAAAAATTAACTAAACATTTAAAATGGTCGACCTTGTTAGCATAAGTAAGGGACATAAGTACCAAAATAACGCTACAAAAAAATTAAAAATCAAATTTACGTAGCCCACGGAAATTCAAAATTCGCGATACTTTTTGAACAGACCTCGTATTTGCAAATTACGTTTCCGAGAGCAAGCAAAAAGTTGATATACGGTATTGGATACCGAATATGACCTAAATAACAATTGTCGGTGTATTTCAAAATCACTATTGAATCAATCATCGAACAGCTAACATCGATCTACGCAGTTCGCTACTTCGACGGGCCATTTGAAATGCAGCTAAGTATTGTTACATCTAATCGGGAAAAGGCCCGACAGCGTCGCAACAAATACTCAGTCGAATCTCTAGGCGGTATTTATTTTATCAAGAGAGGAGATAGTCTAAGGCTACTTTTTCCTCATAAGAGAGAAGGTCTTATGAATTGAGCTCTTAGACTATTAAATAGGAGAGGAGAATAGCACGGCTAATCACTGAATAATGAAATCAGATCTCAGGAAAATGCTGAGTCTTTATATCCAAACAGTGCTCGCGCTGCTAAGCAAGGTAGAATTTGAAGTCCTTTCTTGCCGTGGTGACGAGCGAATACTTGCAAAAAAGGCTCCTTTTTATGCTTGGTAGCTCTTACAACGCTATTTTTGACATTTGTACAAACTTAAAAGAAGCTTTGTCGTGAAATCGCACACGCGAAATTAAAAGTTGGTGATTTAAAAAATTAAGTTGAAAATTTCGAATTTTTTAATATAAATCGCTTAACGAAAATTGCTTCTCAAAGTTATAAATGATTAAAGTTAAATAAATGAATAGCACAAAATTTACAATAAAATTATTCGAATTTTTTACACCAAAAAATTATTTATGATACACGGAACATTATTCCAAATCAAAATCACCAATTTAACTGCTTGAATAATAATAATTTGAATAATAATAATTAAATAAGGAATTCGCAAATTATCCTTTTTGCTATTATAAAATCAACAATCGGATAACTATCGTTTTCATTAATTTTATATGTATGTACAGTTGGATCGTTACCTTGCAACGTAATTTAAAGGTTTAAATAAATTATACATTTTTTATTTATTGATAACTCTGTTAAAAATCAGTTATCAAGATGTTAAATTCTTGCTTCCCTTTCTTAGGGTGATAGTATCATTGTTTTATATTCAATATTATATTAATATATTGCAAAATTCAGTTTTATATTAATTTATTGCAAAATTACTAGTGATATTTACTTGCAAATTAACACGGTATCTGTATACGGAAAAAAAGGTTGCCTGATATGTAGCTAAAAAATACCCACGGAGATCTCTTCATAGCAATTTTCTTCATAACAAAGATATATCTCTTCATAACAAAGATTTCATAACAAAATATATTCTAATATAATAGAATAAATTAGGTGCAAATTTTGTATATAAGACATGATTTATTTTTTTCAACATTTAACATCATGATAAATATCAATAAACATATGATAATAATAATTTTAACAAACTTTTGTTAATAATAAGAATTTTGTTGATAATAATAATTTTAACAAAATTTAAACAAAAATAATAATAATTTTAATACAATTTTTTACTGTTGTAAAGCATGATGTCTGCGGTCAAGAAGGTAGGCACATCTTTATTTACTTCCGAAAATTTTTAGAATATTTAGCATTTTCCATACACCTATCACTATACGAGTATGGGCCATGTATCATATGTTTCAGTACACATGCATACAAACGTGGATTATTTATTTTAATGGGAAATTCAGAAAATATAAATTTATCAACAATGTCCGGAGTAGTTCACTTATAACCATTAGCTAATGTTATCAGTAAGTGAATATGTGGTAAACCTCGTTTTTGAAACTCGACTACATGAACATGAGCAGCAACTACACCGAAAAATTTTTTTTTACAATTAAATCAAGTAATCGCTCTTTTTTTAAATGAAATACTCGGCCTACAATATCGGGTCTGTCACAAGCTTGTTGACCAGGTAAAAGATTTTCTTGGATTTCAGGCCAATTTGTATTGCATGTCATTGTAAGAAAAATTTTACAATATTGGATTCTATCTTTTTCAACTTTAACGTGACTAATTATAATATATTGTTAAAATAATCACCACCTATAATAAAAAGATTAAATTCGTTTAATTTTATG